GTCAACTATAGCTGTCTAATTTGGCTTAGTCAGCGAAAATTTACAATCTTTTTGGTCATGAAAAGTTAGAAGTTTTGTTTCTTTAAAATTTTGATAAAAATATTTTAAATCATTTTAAAATTAAGTAAGATGTAAAACTGAATAAAAAAAATTATAAATGAGAAAATATAAAAAATTGAAAAATTGAAATCGTAGTAAGTCTATTTTAAATTTCTATAAAAAAAAACTAAAATAGAGATTTATAGATTTGTAAATTTTCGAAACTAAAAATCAATGATTGCTAATGATAACTCGAATATGATTAATTATACATTATTAAAATTTAAAAAAAATTATATGAAAAATGGTCATAAAAGTTTATTTTGAAAGATTTTTTAAAATTAAAAAGATTCATAAAATTTTTAAATAATCGACAGTAAAATCAACAATTGCAAAAAACTGCAATTAAATTAACTATATAAAATTTACGGGGCAATTGTAAAAATACCACTTTTAGTGTGTACATTTGCAAGAATATCATTTAGAGGTGTCTATTTACAAAAATGCCACTAATTATGGATTTTAAGCCTAAATCTTAAAATTATAAACTCCAAAAAAAAAATTTGACCCCTAAAACCCCTTAAACCCTTAAAACTAAACCATAATACAACATATTTAACCCAAATATAAATGATATAATAATTTTTTTTTAAAAAAGTGGCATTTTTTCAACGATTTTGAAAATGTAACATTTTTTGAAATTGGCATTTGAAAAATGACATTTTTAAAAATTTCTCAAGAATTACCAACATTTTAGTTATGTGCTGTTACATTTTTAGTATTTATAGAGCAAACTTTTTATAGTTATCTTTTTCTGTATTTGTTCGTTGACTAAAATTCTCCTAATTATTTTGTTCTCCACTATTCCTATTAGTTGTTTTAAACGATCAAAAATCTCTGAAACAATGCTTGTAACTTTAGTAAATATTCACAAAACAATTATAAATAATAATCATATTTGTTTATCTAACGTAGAAATTGATTTAATATTTTTAAATATTCCCAAATTTTATGAAGTTCTCTTTGAATCAAAAAACTCCAAAACAATTTCCTACCCAACAATAGTACTTAATGCTATAATAATTTTATGAACTTTAATCCAAATGTTTACATATTACTTAATTTTATAATTCTTTTAATATTTTTATCCAAAAGTTTGTAAAAAAAAAACCAAATTTTAAAGAAAAAAACATCAAACTTTTCATGTCAAAAAAAAAATCTCAAACTTTTGTTGATTGAACCAAATTAAACATGCCGGTAGTCAACTATAAATGGTGTTAGTCAATAATTATAGTTGACTAACGTCGTGGCTAATGTGGTTCAGTAAACGAATGTTTGGAATTTTTTTGGTCATAAAAAGTTGAAAGTTTGACTAACGTCGTGCCTAATTTGGCTCACTCAACGAAAGCTTTGATTTATATCATTTATTATAGTAATTTAAATTAGTATCATTTAAGTTATTAATACTATTTAAGGGATGTAGTACACCAAATATTTTGTAGTCTATATACCCTTCATTAAAAAAATTCTTTCTAGTCTCCTATAAAAAGTGACTCCCTAAAACTCAAAACTCAAAATAAGATTGAATTAACCATGGAGAAGATGACTAATAAACAAACTATCTTCTCAATATTTTATGTTCTTCTTCTCTCTTCTTCATGTGTCTCTGCTCAGCTCAGGACAGATTTCTACGGGAACTCATGTCCGAACGTTGAAACTATTGTCCGTGACGCCGTCCGTCTAAAATTCCAGCAGACTTTCGTCACCGCTCCAGCCACTCTCCGCCTCTTCTTTCACGATTGCTTTGTTCGCGTAAGAAACA